AACCATTACAATCTCTTTGAGCCTGCTTCTTTCTTTCTCCATGAAAAACAACAAGTAAACAAGAAAAATGCTTGTTAGGAACTCCACCGAGAAAGAAGTCAAATCACTCCATTTTTCTATGTGTTAGTAATTTTGCTTGTGTGTGTGTGTGTGTGTTGAAAGAAGAGTAGCTAAAATTAGCTTCCTCTCTGCAGGAATCATTTTACCTTTGCCCCATCATCACTGACAAGCATTCCCTGAGGGTGGAGGAAAACAGGTATTTGCTCTGTTACCAGGGGGCAAAAATCAATCATAGATGAGAAACACATAAAAGCCAATTAATTCAGATTACTCACCCCGAGAAATCTTCATTCTTCCTGCTTTTTCAATGTAAGGAGAGACCTCAGAGGCAGTCGAGTCAAAGGATACAGGTCAGTTAAGCAGCCGCCCTATGCTGGGCACCTCCATACACAGCTCACAACCAGCCCTTGCAGGAGATATTACCGCAGTTTTACAGATATCAAAAGAATGTCCACCAGTAAAAACCGAGGCTCGGAGAGGTTAGATATATTGCCCAAGGTCACAGACATGGAAAGTCCACTTATATCCAAAGTCTTTCCTCACTTCACATTTTGCCACCTCACTCATTGGCCCTGCCTAATTATAATGTCTTTTCATTTCTGTGCCTTTGAGTAATGATACAGTTGTTCAAGCTACTACAATCAATCAGCTTTTCCCAGGATCCACATTTGGGGGAAATAGGCATAAAGCTCCCGGAAACTTTTCAGCAAACACTATCACACAGGTCTGGGTTATTTTCTCTTTTATGAATGGATGCAATGGTAACCAACATTACCCTGCATTATACAGTAGGGTCCACCTAAGTCCTCTAATTCTCACTGGCATTAATCAAGGCACTTCAGCCAGTGCTTATGGGATTGCAGGACACGAGAAAAGAGGAGAAAAACTTCAATCAGGTTATTGTCAGGAAAGAGTTGAATCAAAACTGCCAGGCATGAGTGAGGGTTATATGAGCCACTTTATGACAATGGCAAATGGATAAAGTCTAATGTTCATTTACCTTGAACTAAAAGCCTCCCAGAGATGAGAGAGAGAAACAAAGAATTTTATTTGTTCTGGATCAACTAAGTCTTTCTGATCCTTTTACTCTATGACACACTAGTTGTCAAGGGACCTTCTGAATTAGAAGACAGCTTTATGGGTACCAATCATTAAGTCCTCTTCACATAAGCACTTCCTAGATACCGGATCCTTAGTCCTGCTTGGCGCCGGCTTCTTTTTGTTTACCCTGAGGTCACTTGGATGGCAGAACCAAAGGATGACAGATCAGAATCCCGTTCCCCACACCTAATGAGTAACTGAGTTCTGTGGAGCCTACCCCACAGACATCTCAAGCATTTGTCTCCTTTTCTCCAGGGCTACTACCCCAGCCACCAGCATTCATGCCATCTTCACTGTCATCTGAATGATTATAATCTCTTCAAGTGGTTCCTCTGCCCCAAACTGACTCCCCTTTAACCCGGAATCCACAGGCAGCCAGAATGATTGTGCTTTAAACAAAATGCTCACTCAATCACTCCTTTACTTAAAACTCTCCAGTGGTTCCCTTTGTCTAGGATGAATAATGAAAACAATAGCCAACAATAACTGGGTTTATAATCTGTGCCAGTTACTACAAGATTTCTCTCAATTCTTGCAGCAACTCAATGAGGGTGGTACAACCTTCATTACCATTATATACTGAGGCCAAGTTACTTAACCAACGTTCCACAGCTAGAAAGTGGCCAAGCTATGACTCAAATCTGGGTCCATATGACCCTGGAGTGCATACTTTCACCACCAGGCTATCCATATGATGGCGTGCAGATTCTCTGTGACCTGCCTTGCCCACCACTACAGTCTTATCTCTTAATAGCTCCTCTTTGTTCCTTATGCTTCAGTTCTTTGAGCCACATGAATGTCCTGGACCTTATGCCTCTGTGGGTTTTGTTTGTTTGTTTTTGCATACTAAACCCTCTTCTATAATGCCCTTTTTCCTTTGTCTAGATTGTGGAATATCTCATCTTTCAAGATTCAACTCAAATGTTAACTCTTCCATGAAACTTTTCTGAGCCCCTCCTTTCCTTGGTAGAACTGACCACTCCCTCCCCGGTGCATCACTGTAACTTTATTATAGCAACCACAGTTCTTTCCTAGCCGTACATGGATGAGTATGAGTCCCACCTGTTAGACTTCTATGAACTCCTTAAATGCTGGGACCATGTCTTACTAACCCATTTTATCCATAGTATCTAACACAGTGCTGGACATTAGAAAATTTGCTGTAAGTAGTGTTGGAAGAAATGAAAATATTTATTTGCACATAAAATATGTTGCTTGTCAGAGAACCCCATTGTGAGCTTTAGATTACTTTTACTTACAGTATCAATGCAATTAGTCCCCCCCCCCCCTTTACTTAAGGACTACATATGAAACTTTGAAAAGGTAGGAGCAGTTTCAGGGCTGGGGAGAAGATATTGCAGTCTACCTGCAACACCTGTTTTCACCTGGGAAAGCACTCAGTGATAACAATAAACTGCCACTGTAAGAATAAAATTAATTTAAACATTTAATTTAAAAGCAAGAATGACAGCAATGGAAAACCATGACCAACTCAAGACAGGACAAATGATGCGATGATAACAAAGCATCCTTTCCCCAAATTCCAGAAATGCCAACTCTACGTGCGTGCACACACTGTATGGCAAACACCACATGGAAGACAGACTTCTTGATTCCAAGCAGCTAAATGCAATTCCTAACTGATACTTTATGATCCTATCTCAAAACCAAGTATTTAGCCCCAACATTCCCACTTCCCCTTGAATATCAGCTCAAGAGAAACCTCCTTGAGAAAGCCTTACTTGGTCATGCAGTGCAGTCCACGTACACACTCTTCTTTCCTTTAGAGAGCTTAGTTTGCAATTACATTTTCAATAGTTATTTTACTAGCAGTTGCCTCCCCCAAAGCATCTGTAAACTTCAGGAGATCAGGGATTCTGCCTGGTTCCATTCACCCTTACCCCTTCTCCCCCAGTAACTGGCACATTGCCAGGCGCACTGTACTCATTTTGAATGAATGAATGGTGAGTGATTCCTTCACCTCTTACTCATTTCCCTGTTTTCTTATATCAATTTCTTACCAAACTCAAGCTGATACTTAATCCATTCCTTTCCATTATTTCCCTACATTAGCAAAAGGATAAGTCCTTATTTTGTAATCTTCTCCCTCCCAACCCCCCAATCCACAAGGCTTCTTAGAAGTGGCAGCTTCTAACCAACCTGTATATTTCGACATGTTTGGGATCCAGGTCAGGGTCATGCAACATGAAAAAATAAAGGAAAAATGTAGTGACTGTAGTAGCTACTAGGTTTAGACACTCTACACAACTCCTAAAATACCTTATAATTCAGTAAAAGGAATTTGAACAACTTCTATTTTATCATATTGATAAAAATGGGCTTATTTGCTAATTGTTTTTCTACTTCTCAACCTGTTTTGCTCTGCATAGAAAAAGCCTTGGAAAAAAGTTGATTGTGCTGATGGTTGGCAAGAAGTAAGCCACATATATGGTCTCTTACAAAATTATCTGGAGGCTATTCCTGAGTGACAGGGCCCTGAACCCCAGGATTCCTCTCCACTCAGGGGTCTTGGCCTGTACCTCTTTCCTCTACAGCCCACCTCTCCCCACCCTTCACAAATATAAAACCTCCATGCTGGTCCCGGGGGGAAAGAGGAGGGCAATGGAAAGATGTAACTGGCAGAGTTTCACATTCAGGAATCAGAACCAGTGAGGTACTGGTTCCTGGAAATCTAAAGCACTTTAGGAAGTATCCTTCCTTGATTCCCCTCGCTACCAGCCTCCACTGAAATTGCACTTGGAAAGTCCAGTTTAAGGGAAAGAACAGGTAATACAGAACTTCTCAGGGACAATTCCCCAATGCTGCTTTCTTCACATTGCTGGAGAGTTAAGGCAAATAAAGGAAACATCCTTGGGTAGTGGGCTCCCTACCCCAAGGGCAACTGCAGTGAAAGACTTTGAAGAAAGCAGGGGTAGTGCTAGTGGGCTTAAGGTTTGCAGACAGTGGGGTGACGTCATTATCTTCCAGTACTTTCATCAGGCAGGAGGTGGGATACAGAATCAAAAGGAGACAGAACAAAAAGAGTAGGAAAGAATATGGGTGAAAAAACAAGGGAATTGAAAATAAACACAAATGCTAGTATAGGCGTTATTCTAGAAGTTAAACTTGCACTTGATTTTTAAAAACCATGTGCATGTGTTATCTATTGAAACTATAATTTAAAAATAATTTTAAAAATAATAAAAGACTCAATATATATATATATATATATATATATATATATATATATATATATATATATAATTTTTTTTTTTTCACTCCCTGAGGAATATGGAATATGGAAGCTGGTGATCAGGCCCAGAGGCTAAGGCCTTAATTTGGTGCCACCCAGGCAAGGTCCCTAAGGTAGCTGGAGGGTTGGGCCAAGATCCTCCAAGAGGGCTTATGGCCCAGCAGGATGGGTGCAGATGCCGTGGCCCTCCGTTCCAAACAGCCTAGAAAACTGTCTGTCCCCTTAACACACACGGAAAAGGTGTTCTTTGTGACAATGCTACATACAGACAGAAGAAACAAGGCACAGGCACAGGCACAGGACACCATCCACAGCCCGAGTCTTGGCGCGCACTCCGGTTCATCCGCGAAGGCGTCGGTCCCACCGCCCCTTGTGGGTAAATGAGCCGCTGGGTCCAGCAGGGAAGCTTTTGGTCCTGCAACTTGACTTGCCCCGTGGCCGGCACCCAGTGTTTCCAGGGCTGAGCTGCTCGGGCCTGCCCTGCGCCCTTCGTTTGGCCCCCGGAGCCCGCAGCCCCCAGACCCGCCACCGCCCCTCCCGCATTGGGACGCGTTCTGCCCGCCCTCCTGGAGGCCCTCGGTCCTACCTGGCGCCCAGGCCTGGGCTTCCTCACCTGGGACAGCGCCGGCCCGTGGGCTGTGGGTCCCCGCGAGGATGGGCTCTCAGCTTAGCTAAGACGGCGCGCGGGTCCCCGCTCCCGGTTCCAAGGTCCGGGTCCCGGAGAGGCGCCCGCCCTCGGGCCTGGCCACAGCAGCCCCCGCAGACCCTCTGGGCAGCCGCCGCGGCCCCGGACTCGGAGCTCCGCCCCCGGCCCGCTCCCCGCCCGCCTGCCCCCGCGGGGTCCGCGAGCTCTGAGCCCCGCTCCCCTCGGAGCCCCTCGCGGAGGCCCTCTAACCCTGCACCCCGAGCAGCTCCGCTTCCCTCACCGTCTGCCCAACCTGACCGCGCCGAGCTGACTCCGCGGGAGCCCTGCGCCCAGGGCGCGTCTTCCCTCCCCCGAGGGCCACGCGTCGGGTCTGGTCCTGGGGGACTGCGGGCCCCGCGCTCGGGTCCTCTCCTGTCCTCTGCCAGCAGTGCCGCGCCCGGAGTTCCCGGACCGGGGACCCCGTACCCGCGGTCGAAGACACCCCCTGCCCTCCTCCTAGGAGATGGAAAGAGGCTTACGACGTTGGGGGCTTCGGGCTCCAATGGTCTCTGTGCCAAAAGTGGGAAATTATTTTTCTGATGGAAGGGCAGAGAGTCACAATAAAATAAATATAAATCCCGTACCCAAACTCTTACTCATTCTGCAAGGCTCAGGCCGAGAGCTGTCTGCACTGGGAGATCTCCCCGGTACTCGCAACAGCTCCCTCCTTCCACCCCTCCGCGCGGAGGGGCGTGCGGTCCTCCCTGTCCAGAGGAAGGGACTTGAAGCGCCCTTGCCTCTACCAGGCCAGACCTTGCTCATCCCCGTCCCCAGCCCTTGGCACGGAGCCTAACATCTATCAGGCGCTCAAATATTTTATGAATAAGTGGAAAGTTAATTTCTTTTGTAGAAACCAGATTTTTCTTTTTACCCTCAAGAACCACACACTCCTTTGGATAAGCAGTTCGTTAGTCTCTGTAAAGAGCCAAATCCCCTTTGATGTAGTAATTCCATTCTTGGGGAAATTTCCAGAACAAAATAATGCTGTGCGGGATGTCCCTATCAGGATCATTTATTACAGAAATAATTTAAAAAACCACAAAAAGCAAACAAACAAAACTAAACTGTCAACAAAAGGAAATTGGTTAAATAAATTAAGGTTGGGTAACTTAGGGTTATTATACAACCATTAAAATGATAAACATCAAGGTAAGAGGGTCTCAAAATGTTTTTAGAGCCTTTGCTGGTTTGGCTCAGTGGATAGAGCATAGGCCCGTGGACTGAAAGGTCTGGGTTCGATTCCTGTCAAGGGCAGGCTTAATCTGGCCCTGGGGGTGTGCGGAGAGAATCAATCAATGTGTCTCTCACATCAATGTTTCTCTGTGTCTCCCTCTCCCTTCCATTCTAAAAAGATCAAAACAAAAATATCCTTGTGTGAGGATTAACAACAACAAAATAAAGTTTTTAGAATAAGGAGAAGACATTTATTTATAAAAGGGAAAAAAACAGAAAAATATTAAGCAATACGATAAAGCAGATAAAGTGTTTATGAAATAATATTAAGCCAAAATAGTAAAAAAAATTGCATAATTACCATGCTTAACAACTTAAAAATTCAGATTTCTGCTCCGTAAAGTGAGGATTTCACCTATTTTAAAGGATTCCTGGATTATTAAATGAGATGTTAGAGGAAAGTACCTGAAACATAGTGGATACTCAGCAAAAAGTTTCCATTCTCTTATTTCAAAAGAATGCAGACTCATATCTAGAGTCTCAAATACATTCTCATCATAGCCCCGCTCTGTCCATTTGACTCCCTTTCCCTCAAATGCAGGGTAGCCGAAGGCATTGAACAAATGTTCAAGCACCACGTTAAAGTGAAGGGGAGAATCTAGGTAATAAGAATAAATGCCAAGTCCTCCCTCGGGCCTAAATGCTCAGTAACACAAGTTCACAATGGGGGATTTGGTTGACAGGCAGAACATGCCAATGTAGCCTAGCGATTTTAGTTGGCTACAAGCACAGCCTGGTTGGTGTCTACAGGACGAATTAATTCAGCCCCAAAGCTGAATGATCTTGGAGTCTTAGGCTGAATTTATATTCAATATTCAGCTTACGACCCAGGCATAAAGTATCACTCTGAAGAGCTAATACTACTCCCACCTTAAAGATGAAGAAACTGATGTTTACAGTGGTTAAGGTGTATAGGATGGAGCAGCTAGGAGGCAGAAGAACCATGACCTCAATCTGATCAGCTTGACCATAGCCAAAGTGCTCGACCCCTTCACCGTGGGTCTCAATGTGTACACCTCCCACTAGAGGTATAGGAGATGCTTTTGAATGGTACACCGGCAGTGAGGTTAAGTAAGAGACCACATGGTGCAAACAGTATGCCCCCTTCAGTTCTCTTGAGCCTACAATAAGGAAGAAGTATCATTTTGTGGTACTTTGTCTCTACACCTCTCCACATCTGCTAATCTCTGTTTTAACAGAGAGGCTGCCTCAGGCTCAGCACCTTTGCTAGGCAACACTTCCTAAGTAGAATTTAATATCATCACTTTCTCTTCCTTCTGATATTATTCCTCATGCTGTCAGGCTCCGATTGATGTAGGGTTTCCACTTACAAAGGGATGTATTTTACATTTAAGGTAAAGTTACTCACCTATGAAATTGGGTCATTTGAAAGAAAGATATTAAAAACCAACAGGACTAGTGATACTTGGACAGGATAAAAATGGCAAAATAATGGAGGTGGTACACAAATGCCTGACTTCTGTTCCATACTCCATGATGACCAGTGGAGGAAGGTACAACGAGGCAGGTTTTAGTTAGAAATGAAAGAACTTTCTGACAATCAGAGCTGAATAGGAAGATGTGTTGAGGCTGCCTGGAGGGTGTTAACCACATTCATTTCTCTCCTGGTTTGACTTAGAGGTTAGATGCCTGCTTGTCACTAACGATGCCATGGGAAGTCAAACACCAAATAGGCTAGAAGCTTTAACGTTCCTGCCAGCCAGAAGAATCTGAAGTTCCTGACAGCAGAGCTTCCCAGGGACCTCAGAGACTGGATTTTGGAGTAAGTTACATGAACTCTCTTCAAGAAAAGAAAAAAAACAAAAAACAAAAAAAAAACAAAGAAGAGTTCCAAGCAAGCTTTGAGCAATGGCAGCACCACTATGACAACTGTATAGTTTATGGAGCACTAGATTACCCCAAGGTTCTTGTTTTGAAAGAGACAACATTTGGGGGGATTTGAAAATGTTAGGGTGTTTGCTTACAATTCAGTCATTTACAATTACACCTTCTTCTGGTGTAGCCTCTATTCATAACCATCCCCAAAGGCTAAAAGGATGGGGCTGCTCCCCCTTCCTTCCATACATCAGCATTTCCCACTCTCAGGTTTCTTTGTGTGGTACCTGCTTATCCCAAAGCCGTTGTCCCTGCTGTTCCCTTTAACCCATTTTGATCAGTATAAAAATGAGTGTGTGTGTGGGAAAGGTACACAGCAGTCAAAAAGTTACTTTGGTGTAAGAAATTTACTTTGCAACCATTTAGCCTGTACATTTATGAAGTACAGAACCCTGTTCCAACTGCCTGAAAGTATTTGGCACACGAGGTATCTTAGAGGTCAGCTGGGCCCATTGCCTCTAAGGGTAGAAATGTTCTAAGGAGCTTACTTGGCAGGTAAGCTAGAGAGAGAAGAGCCCTCTGAAGGACCAACTGCCTCCACTATTGAATGACTGCATCTGGGGACAGCTCATTCCATGTCAGACAGCTCCTTGGGTTAGAAAGGTCTTTCCTGAGCGCCCCTGATGGCTCTCTTTCTCTCACACTCCATATCCAACCCACCTGCAAGTCTTGCTGGCTGTAATTTCCAGATACACTCAGAACAACCTCTCTTCCCCACCCCGACCACTAATGACCTCACCCAAGCCAGCAGCATCTTTCTTTTAGAAAACCTCCTCCCTGTTTCTGCCTCTCTACAGTCTATTCTTTCCACCGCAACTGGAGTGATACATTTCAATTAACTTTAATTATGTCATTTCTCTGCCCAAAACCCTTACTGTAATGACTTTCTGTCTCACTCAGACTAAAATCCATGGCCAGCATTATCTGGCTCCTGGCTATTTCTCTGATGCCATTTCTTAAAATCTTTCTTGGCTCCACACACCCTGGTTTCCTTGCTGGTCTTTAAATGTGCCCAGCATAGCCTGCCTTGGAGTCTCTGCATTTACTTTTCTTAGCATGGAACACCCTTCTCCCTCACGCTTTTTGCTCTCTATTCATTTTACCTTTTCAGAGAGGTGTTCCTTTGGGGTGTCTGGCCCCTAGTGGCAAAGCCTCCCTCTCCCATTCACTCCATTCCATCACCATTTCTTATCCTGCTTTATTACATTTAGGGTGTTGCACACTTTACTGATGGTTTGAAAGCAATAAATTGTGGGGGGTCTTAATGGGATCACAGAGAGGCTAGAGCAAATCAAAGCATAGAAAACAACTTTAAATGAGCATTAAATACTCTGTTCTTTAAAACATGTAGGGGAAGAAATATTCAAAGTGATGAATAGCAAGAACCTACAACCAAGATTACTTTATCCAGCAAAGCTATCATTCAGAATTGAAGGTCAGATAGAGCTTCACAGATAAGAAAAAGCTAAAGGAGTTCATCACCACCAAACCAGTATTATATGAAATGCTGAAAGGTGTTCCTTAAGAAGAGGAAGAAGAAAAAGTGCGGAGAAAATGTCTGCCCCCTGTTCTGAAAACCACCAGCCTCGAGGCTGCTCCTCCGGAGGGCAGGACCCTGAGACTCAGGAGCGAAAGTCTCACGGAGCGAGTGGCACCACTTCCTCCTCTCTGCAGCTGCAACCCTCACAAGTCAAGGCTGGAGAAAGGCACCCTCAGATTCCTCCTGCATCTTCCCCAGAGCAGGCCTGTGGGGTGCTTGGGAGGGCTGGTCTCGTCCCATAGTTCACTGTCCAGGGCCCCAAGGAGCTGCCAGCATAAAAGTCCATGGGGTAGGGCTGCTGCCAGGAAATGTCCCGCAGGGCCACCACCGCCTCATATGGTGTCAGCAGCGGCTTGGGGAAGGCTGTGCCCCAGCCAATGGAGAGGCGTGGACATGCTACTTGTACCCACACGTCCACTTGTGGAAGCAGACTGAGCTTGCTGGGGAAGATCTTGGGGAGCAGCAGCCTCACGAAGGGAAGTCCCAAGGCTTTCAGTCTGGATTCCAGGTGCTCCAGGATCTTGGGGCTGCCCTAACAGCTCAAAGTGCCCAGGATAAGGCTCCAGGATTTAGCTGAGCAGGCAGTGG